ATATTTTTAAAAAATTTTAGGAAGCTTCTGTTAACCGTCGATATAAGAAATGGCACAATTTTTTAGAGAAACAAAAACTTAAAATAGGCAATAGATACCATAAAGAAGCTATCAAACAAACTAATGGCATTTGTTGTCGTTTTGAAGATCGAAGACAAACCAATTCATTACAAAGCAATAGCATTTTAAAAAACCGACAATGAATTAATTGATAGAATTGGAAAGAAATGTTTACAATAGCGGTTAATTAATAAAATCAAAGCCACAAATTACCATTGAATTTCAGCAGAGGAGGTAGCAACTGCAAACCAACAAAATCTATCAGTATATGAGATACGTAAACGGAGAAAAAGAAATTAGAGAAGTGTTTCTTGACTATGAAAGTGTTTCTTGACTATTAAATTCTTGAAAGTGTTTTTGAATATTAACAGGATATGAGGCAAACATATTCGGGAAAGCTTGATGAAATTTTATACCGTAAGTGGAATTGATCTTATTTCTTATAGAGGCCAGTGTTACAATGACGCACCCAACATGCATTCTGTAAAAAAAGGTGTTGCCAGCTTTATTTTAAAAGAACCACCAAAAGCAATTGTAACGCATTGTAGCTCACATAATTTGAGTTTATCAATTACTGCAACATCAAAAATACCAACCATTGATAACATTTTGGAGGTATACAGAAATATATTTATTTATTTCAATACCTCTCCGAAAAGAAAGTGTTTGCTAGAGCATGTTGCAGAGATCCGTTGTAAATCAAGATGGTCAGAAAGAAATGGCTCATATGAACAATTTTATTTAGGTATTCCGTTTATGGCAGAGGAATTAGAGATTATTTTAGGAATACACTCTAATATAGAACAGTTCAATATAAAGTTTAGTATGGATTGGGACGCACAAGGGAAAAGAGAGGCAAACTTTCTCTTTAATGTACTCACTAAGTTTGAATTCATAATTGATATTATAACTTTTTACCGCTTACTTCACCCATTGTCGTACATAGCAGAGAGGCTACAAGGGCACACAACTGATATTGTGTATGCATACAATATTATTTAAGAAACAATTGACAATTTAAAACATCTACGGAAAAATGTTGAAAAAGAAACTTACTCAATTTACAAACAAGCTACTCGCATGACAAGTAAATTATTTGTAAAAACAACGATTTCCAATAACACTATGAGACTGGCTTACAGAAATAACGTATCGCGGAGAGTGCCATGAATATTATAAACACGCCTTGATTATACCTTTTCTTGACACCTTCATTTTAGAAATCAAAATACGATTCCAAAAGACAAATTGAATTGTTGCTAAGGTTTAATGCTTGGTTCCCTCGATAATTTGCAGTGAGGAGATAAATACTTTCCAGGAGTTAGTTTAAATGTATAGTGATCTTCCAAACTCAGAAGCTGTAGATCAAGAATTCATGTTTTGGAAAAGAAAATAATGGTCTGTTATTAAACTAATACTTTAGCTAAAACCATTAAAACCTGCGATGAAAATCAATATCTTTATTTCTTTGAGCTCCTAAAGATTGGATGTACACTACCCGTAACGTGCGCAGAATGTGAACGCAGCTTTTTAGCAATGCAAAGATTAAGAACATGGTTGAGAACCAATATGACTGCAGACAGACATGGTTCATTAGCCATCATGATTATCCACTATAATGAAATTGCTGATTATAAACAAGTCTCAGTATTAGTTTTTACTTTACATCCTAGAAAATTGTATGAAAAAAGTTTAGTTTTTGAATAAAAATTTAAACCATTTATCAGGGTATTATTAACCTCTGTATCGACACCCACTTTCTGACATAAAGCTTGCTCATACGCTTACGCAGTATAAAAATAGAAAAAATATTCGGAGAACAGTAAATTTGTTTATGTAAACATTGTTTACACAAATATAGCTATGTTTTACGATAATTTATTAAGTAAATTTAGTAAGATATTTTTTGATGTTTTAATACTGCCTTTTTTTTTCAAAAACAACCCCCATCCCTAAAAAATTTCACGGTACGCCCTGAAAAGTGTATAGTTTTTTTATATTAAAATATAAAAAATAGTTTATTTATTTTTGTTTTTTTATTTTTCGATTTATTTAAAAGCTGTTCAATGAGAGCCGCTTTTACTTTAGTTTTTTAAAATAAATCAAAACAAATTTTAGACTTAATTAAAATACATTTTAATTCAATTTGAAAAGTTGTTAGGTGAATTTAAAAACGAAAAAGCTGTCATCAATTTTTTTCTAAACTTGACTTAGTTTTAAAAGTACACTTTGACATTTTAGTTCACAATAGTAGACGTCGACAATTTAGAATTGTGGTTTTTATCCCAGTGGGCACAAGAGAAATTTTAGATGACTAAAAAACGTATTTAAACGTGTTGTTATTAAATTTAATATTAAAACGATTCTGTCCACTAGGATTCTAATCGCCCAGCAAAAACATTTTTTCGACGTTTTTTAAACGTCGATAATACGTCAAATA